ATGTAGTGTCTGTTTATTTGAATGAGCAGAAAGCAGTGACCTTAGAACAAGCTGCAATCTTGGCAGATGAGTTTGTCTTAACACATAAGGTACATTTTGGTGACAATCAAGCTGAGGATCTGGTCTAGATTAGGCACAATAGGTCTCGGTTTGGAAAGTCTGTGCCTTTTGCCTCATCACCTGCCAATAAAATGACTAATGATGGTGTGATTTCAGAAAGGGCTTGTTTTTATTGTAAGACACCAGGCCATCTTATTGCAGATTGTCCTGTTCTAAGTAAAAAACAGAAATCTGCAAAGACTGTAGCATTTGTAAGTCCTGTGCCAAGCCTTCCTTTGGCATCTTCAGTTGTTGATGTTTTATGCAAGACAGGGGATTTAGCTGGCTCATCATCATTTCTGATGGATGGTTCTGTGTATCTGTCTTCTGACCCTGAACATAGGCAAGCTATCAAGATCTGGAGAGATACAGGAGCTTTTCAATCTGTAATTTTACGTGATGTCTTGCCCTTCAATGAAAAGTCAGCTCAAGATTCAGAGGTAATTGTTAAAGGTTTTGGTGGAGGATTTCTGTCTATGCCTTTACATAGCATTAATCTTCAATCAGATTTAATCTCTGGGGATGTGGTTGTTGCACTTTGTTCCCAGATTCCCATAGATGGTGTGTCCTTTATTCTAGGGAATGATTTAGCTGGTGGGAAAGTGCTAGCTGTCCCTGAAGTAAGCTCTACTGTCCTCAAGTCAGATGGTCCAGATGCGCTTGAATTGGCATTTCCAGAAACTTTTCCTGTTTGTGAAACTACTCGTGCCATGTCGGCTAAGAGGCAAGCTGAAGACCAATTTTCCAGCAGTCAATCGGGGATGCCACTTTATGATACTTTCATGGCCCAAGGTAACATGAATTTGGCAGGGTTTGGAAAGATGTTTCCATCTTGTGAACAGTTAAGACTTGAGCAAAAAGAAGACCCCACTTTGTCACCCATGTTTGAAGATTTAGTGTCTGATGAAGTACTATCAAATGTTGCTTCTGGCTATTTTGTCAGTGATGGTGTTTTGATAAGAAAGTGGACAGATCCAAAAATACCATGTGAGGATGACTGGAGTAGTGTGTTTCAAGTGGTGGTTCCAGAAGTTTATTGGTCTGACACTTTGTATCTCGCCCATGATCATTGTGTTTTAAGTTTTCTTTTTTGGCCTGGCGTGAGGTCTGATGTGGCTCAGTATTGTAGATCAGGTCATGTTTGTCAGGTGGTAGGCAAACCTAACCAGTCTATTCCTGCGGCTCATTTACATCCCATTCCTGCCATTGGAGAGACATTTGATTTGAAAGCAGTTCGGGAGAAGACTTCATATGATCGAAAGGCTAAACATCGTGTGTTTTGTTCAGGAGACCAAGTGTTGGTGCTCTTACCAATACTGGGTTCTGCGGTGCAGGCTCAATATAGTGGTCCATATACTACTGATCAGAAAGTTGGTAAGTGTAACTACTTGGTTAAGACTCCAGATCGTAAAAGGAAAACCCGAATGTGTCATGTGAATTTACTCAAGCCTTACTTTGACCGTAACCAAATTGCGTCTACAGAGATTAGGGTTTGGCTGCACTGAATGCTCCATCGATTAAGACCGGAGGAGGAAGTGTTGTTGTTTTTGAGGTTGCTCAGAGTAGATTGGCTGATTTAGACTTCCATTGGTCGTGTCTAAATCTTTCTGAGCGCTCTGATGTTGTTCAGTTAATTGGTCATTATTTGGCCTTGTTTTCTGATGTTTCATGTTGTACCAACGTGCTAGAGCATTACATTGATGTAGGTCAAACTAACCCTATTAAGCAACACCCATATATATGGTTAGTGGTTACTGGTATAGGTTAATGTGATTGAGCCTGTTTTGCAGGGATATGACTACAGTCTTTACTAGTGGGAAGGATAATGTTTTGGCGGATGCTTTGTCAAGGTCGTAAGTCCTTGTGTTTGCTTTTTTTATGTATTTGTTGACTTTGCTATAGGTTATTCTATAGCAATGTTTTAAGGGTGGGAGTGTTATGTGTGAGTGTTCTAATCTGTATGTCATTGCAGTTTTCCTTGTAGATCACCTGCTGCAATCAACCGGTTAATTGGTGTCACCTGACAGGAGCTACTTAAATCTAGGACGCATGCTTTTGCTCTCTCTCTCGTCTTGCAGCCGGCAGAGCAGTAGCTGTGTTTTTGCTTCTACAGTCCCCTTTTTCCTTTTTATATTAAATAAACTTTGTTTTAATTGGCAGACTTCTGTCTTTGTGTCCTTTATGTTGCATCCCTAGAGCCGGGGTTGTAACACAGTCTAGACCAGTGTTTCCCAAACCTGTCCTGAAGCACCCCCAACACTGCATGTTTTCTTTGTCTCCCTAATCAAACACACCTGATTCAACTCATCAGCTCATTATCATGGGTTAATGAGCTGATGAGTTAAATCAGTTGTATTTCATTAGGGAGACAAAGAAAACATGCAGTGTTGGGGGTGCTTCAGGACAGGTTTGGGAAACACTGGTCTAGACCAACAGACCGAGAGCAATCCAAGATCCCGGACCGAAGCCATCTCAAAGGACACTAAGCTATTTAGTGATTTAATAACAAAAATTACCATTTTAAAATCTATTCTCAATCAGCAGCCAGTGTAAGGAAGTTAAAAATGGGGGCGATATGTTCAAATTGACACTGGCCGTCAGCATTCTGGGCCATTTGTAAACACTCTCTAGAGGAGTGGTTCATCCCACAGCAGAGTGAGTTACAGTAATCTAGGCGAGATGAAGGTGTGCATCACTGTTTCAGAGTTCATCAAAGAGAGGGAAGATTTAACTTTTGCAAGGCGTCGTAAATGGAAAAAAACGTGATTTAACCACAGCATTAATTTGTTTATCAAACTTAAGTCTGAAATCAAATCAAAACGCCTTGGTTTTCCGTACATGGAGTAACATAAGAAGTTAGGTTGCCGAGATCCAAGTTACGGTGCACACTTGGTCCAACAGTACCACTTCTGTTTATTCTCGTTCAGGCCTAAAAGTATGTGTTAGCCGTAGTTTCAGTTCCTCTAAACAAGCTAGCAATGCCCATGTGGAGGGTTATCACGACGCTTTAATGGAAGGTACAATGGAATTTGATTAATAAATCAAATAACACCCAATATTTATGAAAATTGAAACCCAAGGACAGCATGTACAAGGAAAACAAAGTTGGGTCAAGGATAGATCCCTGGGGAACACCACAGGAGAGATGTGCTGCGGATGATGTATGTTGTCCGATACAAACTCAAAAACTAAAAAAGGACTGTAATTGAGCAAGCTCCTTTTCCAGAATTTAAGGACACAGGAGATCAGAAATTGGTCTAAAATGACCTATGACAGTAACATTACATTCAGGTTCCTTCAGTAGTGGAGTAACTGAAGCGTGTTTTAGGCAGTACGGGGCCGTGCCATTGCTCAAACAGAAGATCAGGCCCTAGTGGCAACCGTTTGCTTAAGAAAGCGCGGAGGAATAATATGAATATGACTTTTAAGTAGACCTAAAATGTTCAAAAATACCTTTACAGAAGAGAAATTTGGTGGAGATTTGTATTCCGAACGCTTGACCTGGTGTTTAAAGTGTTGCTAAACTGACTGATACACACATCTACACCAGAGTTTCCTGGCGACGAGAGAGAGAAATGAGCATGCGTGGGAGTCGCACACACTGAGGAAAGCTGGAGATTACAAAACTCCTTGGCTTAACCGCTTGCAAATGTGAATATTAAAATCACCCAACAGTAAAATTTATCATGCATTGTTACAACATTGCCCAAAATGTCCTCAAATTCGTTAACAAAAAAGCAGTATTTAACTGTGAGGGTCAGTAAAGCACTGCAAACAGCCCTGGATTGGCCGAGTCCTTCAGAAACACACACATGCGTTAGTGATGTAGCTCTTGGATTGCTGACCTCAGATCTGTTTGGTTTAGTTGGTTTAACGTTTAGTTACCATGGTACAACTAGTACGGTTGATATTTCTTTGGGTTATAGTTCGACTGGCATTGATCATCATGACTGATATATTTGAAATAGCTCATTCACTCACCAGTCAGTGGATAATCTAACAACTGAAATACAGGAATTTCTGCCCTGCTATTGTCATTAACTGTGATTCTGCATATTAAACTGTGATACGATTAAGAATTAAGAAGAATTACACACCTCACATTAAAAAAATGAGCTTTATAATCAAGTGGAAAACAAAATTCCATTTACAAATCCTTAAAATTTGACTTCTGCCCACAGAGAATAATAGAACATGGCTGAGGATATTTCTATAGGCACCAAAAACACAACAGAACAACATGAGGCTTTACAAAAATGTTTTACTCGTCTGCTGGTCAAAGGCACGTTTGTAAAATGGCATAAAACAAAATCATCCACAGTTTTTCTGGAGAAATATTAGAAACATTTAAAGGCAGTTCTAGATTCTCCATCAACTCTTTGGGTCCATGTGCTACACATCAGCGGTCACTCAGAGGTCATGCCCAGGTCAGTGTGTGTGTGTGTGTTCCTGCGTCGCTCTGAGCAAACCCTCCTGCTGCAGAATATCACAGCACATTGATTTAAGATTGTTTTATGTAACAACATCTATAGTAACTGGTTTATTTACATGTGCAGCAGAGCTAGAGATCGGATTTCATCAAACCGCAGTAAACACCACATGGACCAAGCTGTGAAAGAAACAAACATGCAGACAAACACAATACTGTAACAATGTTTGAAGATGATGATTAGGACGATACAATAAGATCCAAAACCGTGACATCAAAATGATATATTCACAATGTTATGAATGGTTCAATTTAAAAACCTCCAGGTCAAAGTATTTGATTACAAATGTAAACACGAGTGTTATGCATCTGGTTGACAGACTCATCTTTTCCTTGGCGAGATTTAATCATTTTAAAAGAGACGGACAACAGATGCATTCTGGTCATGATGACACGTGTTTTCATTTCCATCTATTTCCAACATACAGACTGGGACGCCGTCATTTATTCATATCAAACTCAAGTATAATCAAGGGCACAATATTCAACTGAATCAATAATTTAAAAGCGCGACACTAGTTTCTCTGCCCTGTGGCTGGTTTATTCAGACCTGATGCAGAAGCGCAGCTGATGGAAAGGTTCTCTCTCTCTGGGTAATGTGAGTCAGCTCAGGCGTGTGATGGCACATGACGGAGAACACAGGACACCTACAGATGGAAAGGTGATTCCTGCGCTGTTCTGGGAATCTGCGGTCCGTGTGACGCGGCGGCATCTGATGTTCACACTGTCCTGGAGGGCAAACGCAGCTTGTACATGCCAGCCAGAGCCCTGGCAGCAGAGTAGATCATCTGCCGGCGGGACGTCCCGGTGAAGGCCTGGTGCCAGTCTGTGCGGCTCACGTTGGGCACACTTCTCTCCAGAACTTCCCCCACCGTCACTAGCAGACCGGACCAGCGCAGGTTATAGTCAGGAGGAGTCAGGGACTGTGCCTGGAGGAGAACAGCACACACACACACACATCAGTTCATGTGACAGCACTAAATATACATACATCACATGAGTTCAGTGCTAAACTTCCATAGTAGGAAAACAAATAATGGGGTCCATCAACTGTCTGGGTTCCGACATTCTTCAAAATATCTTCTTTTGTGTTCATCAGAAGAGAGAAACTCATACAGGCTTGAAACAACTTGAGGGCGAGTAAATGAAGACAGAATCTCATTTTGAAGTGACCTATTCCTTTAAAATTCTTTCCATCTAAACTGGTTATAATCTCATAAGCCTGGTAGTGAATGTTTTATGAGCGGTAGGATAATCATCTGTAATGCATGCAGTTAAATGGTGTACCTTTAATGCAAACTGTTTGCAATCGCATCATTTACTACACGGCACAAATGCTGATTAAGCAGCCAATGAGATTTCATGCTCAACAGTTAAACAGTGTTAGCTGTAAACTGAACCCCTCCGCCTCCCCCAGCTCACCTGTCTAGATCTCAGCATATCTCACATGCTCACGGCAGCGTGTGTGTGTATCTATCGCCAGCAGCGTGTGTGTGTATCTATCGCCAGCATCGTGTGTGTCTATTGGCAGCAGCGTGTGTGTCTATCGGCAGCAGCGTGTGTGTGTATCTATCGGCAGCAGCGTGTGTGTGTATCTATCGGCAGCAGCGTGTGTGTGTGTATCTATCGGCAGCAGCGTGTGTGTGTGTATCTATCGCCAGCAGCGTGTGTGTGTATCTATCGGCAGCAGCGTGTGTGTGTATCTATCGGCAGCAGCGTGTGTGTGTATCTATCGGCAGCAGCGTGTGTGTGTATCTATCGGCAGCAGCGTGTGTGTGTATCTATCGGCAGCAGCGTGTGTGTGTATCTATCGGCAGCAGCGTGTGTGTGTATCTATCGGCAGCAGCGTGTGTGTGTATCTATCGGCAGCAGCGTGTGTGTGTATCTATCGGCAGCAGCGTGTGTGTGTGTGTATCTATCGGCAGCAGTGTGTGTGTGTGTGTATCTATCGGCAGCAGCGTGTGTGTGTATCTATCGGCAGCGTGTGTGTGTGTATCTATCGGCAGCAGCGTGTGTGTGTGTGTGTATATATCGGCAGCAGCGTGTGTGTGTGTGTATCTATCGGCAGCAGCGTGTGTGTGTGTATCTATCGGCAGCAGCGTGTGTGTATCTATCGGCAGCAGCGTGTGTGTGTGTGTATCTATCGGCAGCAGTGTGTGTGTGTGTGTATCTATCGGCAGCAGCGTGTGTGTGTGTGTATCTATCGGCAGCAGCGTGTGTGTGTGTGTCTATCGGCAGCAGCGTGTGTGTGTATCTATCGGCAGCAGCGCGTGTGTGTATCTATCGGTAGCAGCGTGTGTGTGTATCTATCGGCAGCAGCGTGTGTGTGTATCTATCGGCAGCAGCGTGTGTGTGTGTATCTATCGGCAGCAGCGTGTGTGTGTGTATCTATCGGCAGCAGCGTGTGTGTGTATCTATCGGCAGCAGCGTGTGTGTGTATCTATCGGCAGCAGCGTGTGTGTGTGTGTATCTATCGGCAGCAGTGTGTGTGTGTGTGTATCTATCGGCAGCAGCGTGTGTATCTATCGGCAGCAGCGTGTGTGTGTATCTATCGGCAGCGTGTGTGTGTGTATCTATCGGCAGCAGCGTGTGTGTGTGTATCTATCGGCAGCAGCGTGTGTGTGTGTATCTATCGGCAGCAGCGTGTGTGTGTGTATCTATCGGCAGCAGCGTGTGTGTATCTATCGGCAGCAGCGTGTGTGTGTGTGTATCTATCGGCAGCAGTGTGTGTGTGTGTGTATCTATCGGCAGCAGCGTGTGTGTGTGTGTATCTATCGGCAGCAGCGTGTGTGTGTGTGTCTATCGGCAGCAGCGTGTGTGTGTATCTATCGGCAGCAGCGTGTGTGTGTATCTATCGGCAGCAGCGCGTGTGTGTATCTATCGGTAGCAGCGTGTGTGTGTGTATCTATCGGCAGCAGCGCGTGTGTGTATCTATCGGTAGCAGCGTGTGTGTGTGTATCTATCGGCAGCAGCGTGTGTGTGTATCTGTCGGCAGCGTGTGTGTGTGTATCTATCGGCAGCAGCGCGTGTATCTATCGGCAGCAGCGCGTGTGTGTATCTATCGGCAGCAGCGTGTGTGTGTGTCTATCGGCAGCAGCGTGTGTGTGTGTCTATCGACAGCGGCGTGTGTGTGTGTATCTATCGGCAGCAGCGTGTGTGTGTATCTATCGGCAGCAGCGTGTGTGTATATCGGCAGCAGCGTGTGTGTGTATCTATCGGCAGCAGCGTGTGTGTGTATCTATCGGCAGCAGCGTGTGTGTGTGTATCTATCGGCAGCAGCGTGTGTGTGTATCTATCGGCAGCGTGTGTGTGTGTATCTATCGGCAGCAGCGTGTGTGTGTGTATCTATCGGCAGCAGCGTGCGTGTGTATCTATCGGCAGCAGCGTGTGTGTGTATCTATCGGCAGCAGCGCGTGTGTGTGTGTGTATCTATCGGCAGCAGGCGTGTGTGTGTATCTATCGGCAGCAGGCGTGTGTGTGTATCTATCGGCAGCAGGCGTGTGTGTGTATCTATCGGCAGCAGCGTGTGTGTGTGTGTGTGTATCTATCGGCAGCAACGTGTGTGTGTATCTATCGGCAGCAGCGTGTGTGTGTGTGTCTATCGGCAGCAGCGTGTGTGTATATCGGCAGCAGCGTGTGTGTGTATCTATCGGCAGCAGCGTGTGTGTGTATCTATCGGCAGCAGCGTGTGTGTGTGTATCTATCGGCAGCAGCGTGTGTGTGTATCTATCGGCAGCGTGTGTGTGTGTATCTATCGGCAGCAGCGTGTGTGTGTGTATCTATCGGCAGCAGCGTGCGTGTGTATCTATCGGCAGCAGCGTGTGTGTGTATCTATCGGCAGCAGCGCGTGTGTGTGTGTGTATCTATCGGCAGCAGGCGTGTGTGTGTATCTATCGGCAGCAGGCGTGTGTGTGTATCTATCGGCAGCAGGCGTGTGTGTGTATCTATCGGCAGCAGCGTGTGTGTGTGTGTGTGTGTGTGTGTATCTATCGGCAGCAACGTGTGTGTGTATCTATCGGCAGCAGCGTGCGTGTGTATCTATCGGCAGCAGCGTGTGTATCTATCGGCAGCAGCGTGTGTGTGTATCTATCGGCAGCGTGTGTGTGTGTATCTATCGGCAGCAGCGTGTGTGTGTATCTATCGGCAGCGTGTGTGTGTTTCTATCGGCAGCAGTGTGTGTGTGTGTATCTATCGGCAGCGTGTGTGTGTGTGTATCTATCGGCAGCGGCGTGTGTGTGTATCTATCGACAGCGTGTGTGTGTATCTATCGGTAGCAGCGTGTGTGTGTGTATCTATCGGCAGCAGCGTGTGTGTGTGTGTATCTATCGGCAGCAGTGTGTGTGTGTGTATCTATCGGCAGCAGTGTGTGTGTGTATCTATCGGCAGCAGTGTGTGTGTGTATCTATCGGCAGCAGCGTGTGTGTGTGTGTATCTATCGGCAGCGTGTGTGTGTGTGTATCTATCGGCAGCAGTGTGTGTGTGTGTATCTATCGGCAGCAGTGTGTGTGTGTATCTATCGGCAGCAGTGTGTGTGTGTATCTATCGGCAGCAGCGTGTGTGTGTGTGTATCTATCGGCAGCAGCGTGTGTGTGTGTGTGTATCTATCGGCAGCAGCGTGTGTGTGTATCTATCGGCAGCAGCGTGTGTGTGTGTGTGTATCTATCGGCAGCAACGCGTGTGTGTGTGTGTATCTATCGGCAGCAGCGCGTGTGTGTGTGTATCTATCGGCAGCAGCGCGTGTGTGTGTGTGTATCTATCGGCAGCAGCGTGTGTGTGTGTGTGTATCTATCGGCAGCAGCGTGTGTGTGTGTGTGTGTATCTATCGGCAGCAGCGTGTGTGTGTATCTATCGGCAGCAGCGTGTGTGTGTGTGTGTGTATCTATCGGCAGCAGCGTGTGTGTATATCTATCGGCAGCAGCGTGTGTGTGTGTGTGTATCTATCGACAGCGGCGTGTGTGTGTATCTATCGGCAGCAGCGTGTGTGTGTGTGTGTATCTATCGGCAGCAGCGTGTGTGTGTGTGTGTATATATCGGCAGCAGCGTGTGTGTGTGTGTGTATATATCGGCAGCAGCGTGTGTGTGTGTGTGTATCTATCGGCAGCAGTGTGTGTGTGTGTGTATCTATCGGCAGCAGTGTGTGTGTGTGTGTATCTATCGGCAGCAGCGTGTGTGTGTGTATCTATCGGCAGCAGCGTGTGTGTGTGTGTGTATCTATCGGCAGCAGCGTGTGTGTGTGTGTATCTATCGGCAGCAGCGTGTGTGTGTGTGTGTGTGTATCTATCGGCAGCAGTGTGTGTGTGTGTGTGTATCTATCGGCAGCAGTGTGTGTGTGTGTGTGTATCTATCGGCAGCAGTGTGTGTGTGTGTGTGTATCTATCGGCAGCAGCGTGTGTGTGTGTGTGTGTGTGTGTGTATCTATCGGCAGCAGCGTGTGTGTGTGTGTGTGTATCTATCGGCAGCAGCGTGTGTGTGTGTGTGTATCTATCGGCAGCAGCGTGTGTGTGTGTGTGTGTGTGTGTGTGTATCTATCGGCAGCAGTGTGTGTGTGTGTATCTATCGGCAGCAGCGTGTGTGTGTATCTATCGGCAGCAGCGTGTGTGTGTGTGTGTGTATCTATCGGCAGCAGCGTGTGTGTATATCTATCGGCAGCAGCGTGTGTGTGTGTGTATCTATCGACAGCGGCGTGTGTGTGTATCTATCGGCAGCAGCGTGTGTGTGTGTGTGTGTGTATCTATCGGCAGCAGCGTGTGTGTGTGTGTGTATATATCGGCAGCAGCGTGTGTGTGTGTGTGTATCTATCGGCAGCAGTGTGTGTGTGTGTGTGTATCTATCGGCAGCAGTGTGTGTGTGTGTGTATCTATCGGCAGCAGCGTGTGTGTGTGTGTGTGTGTATCTATCGGCAGCAGCGTGTGTGTGTGTGTGTATCTAT